GAATCCGACCCCTTGCAAATTTGTTCAAAAAAAATTTAATAACTGAACTAATAAATATTAATGGGTGTATTGAAAAAAATAATATATCACTCATTTTTATATTTAAAAGTATGAATTTATAATAAATAAATAATTTTAATTAATGTTTTAAATATTTTAAAATTATTTAATATTTCATATATTTTCTAGATAGGAAAAAGACAAAATACCTACAACAAGAACATAACCAACACAACACAAAACCCTTAGACAAGGGAAAAGCAAAATTAACAACAATAATAACTACATAATAAATTTGGAGTAATAATCTGCGGGACGACGTTGCAGGACAATTTTGGAGGACGTCAAGTGAAGCAGGGTCAAATTGGTAATTGTTGCTGGGACTGCTTCACTTGTCGTCCCCAAAATCGGCCCGCAAGATCGTCCCGCAGATCATTAGTCATAAATTTGATAAAATTAAGTTTATAATATACCTCATTCATTGAATAATTATGGTTAGATATTTTGATATTTTTAATATCAAGATATTTAAAATTTTTTCGTTTCTCTTTAAACAAAGCTTTAATGGTATTTAATCAACTAGCTAGATTTTTTTTTCTAAAGTTTATCTTACGGGGATTTAGATTATATTCAGTTTGAAGGAAATAGAAATAGGGGAGGGGAGATAGAGATGAATTTTTTAAATGATTAAATTATACTACTTAAAAATATTATAATTTAATTAATTATAAAACCCATCTCCTCCCTTTCTTTTTATTTCCCACAAGCCATATAAATCATGACAATAATAACCACATGCTAAATCTGATAAAGTTAGCATTCCTATTATATCTCAAATATTTAATAATTGTGATTAAACATTCTAATATTTTTAGTATTAATATGTCTAATTTTTTCTTTTTATCCTTAAACTAAGCTTTAATGGTATTTAGTCAACTAGATTTATTTTTTTTTTCTAAAGTTCACCTTCCTGAATTTTTTTTTTTGAACAGGATTACAATTTTGAGGGTGGGAGGAATCGAATCCCAGCCCTCGAATTAAAGATGCACCTTATAAGCCGGTCTATGACTGTTGGGCCGTGAGGTCCAAATGTGTTCACCTTTGTGAATTTAAGTTATATTTAATTTGAAAAAAAATAAAACGTATATATAATAAATTTTTAATTAATTAAATTATAATATTTAAAAATATTATAAAATAATTAATCGAAGAACTCATCTCCTCCCTTTCTTTTTGTTTCCCACAAACCATACTCTTAGCCAAATAAATATTGTTCAGCAATTTTAGCGATAAGTACAGGCAACCTCTTCTGGGGCCTGCGATTCCCCTAGAAAGCTGCATGCTAAACACAAAAATTCAAGCTGCATGCTAAACACAAAAATTCAATTCTCTAAGTAGGGGAGGGTTGCGGTGGCGGAACTACTAAGAGGATGGGTTAGGCATAGGCCCTACCCTTTGCCCCTAAAAACAATGAGGAAAAGAAGGGCAAGGAGGGAAGGCTAACCTTGGTAATTGGTAAAAATTGATAATTAAACCAATGACTTATTAGTTTTAGTAGAAATAATTTATTTATTTATTTTTAAATAAAATTTTGAATTTAAATTTTGTAAATAAAAAAACAAGTATTGAAAGAGTTTTCTCTTTATAAGATCTAACGTGATTCAATTTTGGATTATTTGAAATCTAATGTAATTACTAGATACTAAGAAGTTAATTAAAAAAAATGGGAATTAGGCTACAACTCAATTCTTGCTTTTTCCATGTTTATTAGTGGATTTCAATATTTTCGATGATATATAAATTATTTACTTAAGAAAACTCCATCAATTACCTTATATTTAGTGTAACAGATAATTTTAAAATATTAAAAAATTAAAATTTTAAAATAAACTTTCTCTCTATTTCCCTTGGGTCCATCTTCATTTTCCTCTCATCATAGCTATTGATAGAAGGCTTTGAAGAATTTGCCACAAATGCAAAGAAATCCGGCATGTAGCTCTTTTAACTGTTCAAAAATTACTAAGTAATTCCACAGCAACTACATCATTGACTTATTGGGTTTAAAGGTGTAAGTCTCTCATGAAAAAAGATTGAACATGTGTAATCTGACATGTGTTTCGAGTGCAAAACTTTTATGCAGTTGCAATGCTATCTCAATTTTATCACATAGGGAGAGGTTTCTTTTATTTTGAAGAACCCTCTGATGTGGTTGAGCTCTTCTTCAAGAAGATAATTTAGGAATTTGTAAGCCACGCGCCATTAGATAATCCAATGTCGTAAGCATTGCCCAATGCACCAAAAAAAAAACATTGCAAAGATATCCGTCCAAATGGTGCACAGGTAATCACCACTAAGAGATCAAATTACATTAGCACAATTACTCTTAATAAAATGGACACAATATTAGACAAAAAAAAAAAAGAGTTTTGTATATTGTTTGAAAAATAAAACCCTCTTTATAAATTATTAAACGTAAATTAAAAAATAATAAATTCATATTTCAAACAATTATAATTGAGTTCATATCTTCTTCAAAAATTTTAAAAAATATTCATTATTTAACATATAACTATTAAAAAATTCATGAATTTCTTTAATCGTGTTAAGAACTCATTGATTCTTTCAAGAATCATTAACAGTAATAAAAAGGTTATCGGCAAGAAAATTAGACAAATAGGATGCATAAAAGCCCGTAAAGAGTGAAAAAAACATAAGAAATAATTACCATTATTTACTAATTGTTGTTATTTATTTTTTCAAATAAACAAAATGAGGCTACTAATAGTAAATTGATAATTTTCCTCCAGCCCTACCCTGTATATAGAATTTTTTGGTTCCGCCATTGGATGGTTGCCCAGGATCGCCATTTTACCTTAGCAAGTTGGCATAGGCTAGCTAGTAGTTCTAGGTTTGGTGGCACCTAACATCTTTTTACTTACTTAACACATAAACCTAACATTTTTGTACCAAGATTTAAAGGAGCTCTTTCTTTTCTTTTCTTTTTTTTTTTTTTTTTTAATATGGGAAATTATAGAGTAATGAAGAATTTTTTTCAAGTAATGAAATTTTTTTTCAAATAATTAGTGAAAGTTAAATTCTTAACTAACTAAATCTAAGTATTATAACATGAAAACGAATTATTAAACTTGAAGGTTTAGTATTTTTCCTTTTTTTTTTTCTTGATAACACATTTATCTCCCCCTTTAATATTATTATAGTTTCATAAGCACTTGTAGATTACCTTGCCTAAACGCACCAAATAAACCTCCACGCATAGGTAACCACCATAACCCACATAATTTTATTTTTTTACATCTGTATATATACTTTGATTAATTCCTATGCTCTTCGGGAAAAAAAATTATTATCCATATTAACTGAAAAAATACTTGTTGATTTTGACAACCACTTCATTGGTTTTGTCAGCCATAAATACCACTTAATTAACGGTACAAAAGAAAAAAAAAAAAAAGAATTTTCAGATTATTAATATTTAGAGATTTTTTTTTTCATAAGGACAATGATTAGTAAGTTAAGTTAGTTATTCGTTAAAAATTGAGATTCAATCTCCAAACGAGAGTGAATGTTACAACTTCTTCATCGAGAAACGCAACCCAACCAGTATACCGCATAGCCGCATAGTAAAGTTTATTGATATTTAGAGATTGAAAGCTGATACTTTGCAACTTTCTTTACCCCCACAGTGAAAGGTCAAAAAAGGATCCGAGATGAAAATCAGAAATGTGAGACAAATCACCATTGCAGTTCCACAGGAGTAACAATATAGAACTCTTGATAAGTTCGATTCTGTATAATGATTTGTAAAGAAAATGAGAGAAAACAGCCCACGTGGGAAACACACGTGGGTGCACCAAAATTAAAATGACCAAGGCAATAAAACACAAAAAATATGGATAAACATTAACAACATGTTTGGTTCAATTTCCAATTATTTCGATTTTTTAACATTATTTAAATTTCTTAAATTTAAATTTTCTTTTAAAAAACTTATATTTTTAAATTTTTTTTACCTTAAAAAAATCATAAACAATAAAAACTCAAAAGTTTCAAACTTTTATTTTTCATAAATTTCCTTTTTACTCACTTTTTCCTATTTTTAAAAATAACTTTTAAAATTTTCTTTCAATAAAAACTTAAACTTATCGTTCATAAACTGTATATAAAAGAAAAAAATAAAAATTGTTACAAGCTAATACAAACATACTCTAAGTCTCTCCTACCTTAACTCCCTATATAAACCTCAGTAATCCCCTTTTCAGTCATCAACATACCCAACATTTCACTCCTCCATACAATTCAACTGGGGAAAAATGGCAACTAACACGAAGCCTGAGATGGCAAAGGAGGAGGTGGCAGTTGAGGTTGAACCTAACACTGGAGTTCCTTTTCCAGTTAAATTGGATGATGGGAAGCTGCAGCTGAATTGTGTTGGTGTTAGGAGGAAGTCTATACTTGGCTTGGGAATCAAGGTTTATGCCTTTGGTAAGTATTATATATATACTCTTTGCTATATCATAAAAAATGCATCGTTAAGATAATAAAATAGATGTTAACATATATACCTCAGTAGCAATGCATTTGATGCATGTGTTCCATGATCGTTGAATATATGTTATTCATAAATAAGCCATAACATTCTCCAACTTACAGGGATCTACGCAGATAATGAGAAACTGAAGGATCTTATGAAGTCAAAGATTGGAACAGCTCCTCCAGCACCCACCAAGGAAATGTATGATGTGGTAATTGAGAGTGATGTGCCGATGATGATAAGGATGTCAATGACGTTTTCAAATATTAGTAACACGCCCCTGGTAAAGAGTGGCTTTGCAGATGATATTGCAGGAACCATAAAGAAACTAAATGGTGGGAAGAGGAATGATGAGCTCTCAAAAATGTAATTCTCATAATAACTCTTGTGTTACTGTTATAATTCAAATTAGATATGAGATGATAGCTGAAACTTCACCTCTGATGACAGGGTTATGGGACCATTATCAGATAACGTCAAACTAAAAGTCGGTTCCCTAATTGAGATTTATAGGTTATCAGGATATGTTCTCCAAACAAAAGGTAATTAAGATATATATACTCTAGTATATTGAATCCATTTATATTACTACACTAGACAAACAAGTGAAGAAAAGTTGTTTCCAATGGGTGCAGTTATGGGTGAGCTGGTAAGCAAGGTTGACAGTGAACTTCTCTGCAAGACAATGATCTATTTCTATCTTGGACATGATGACCTTGATAAAGAAGCAAGGGAGAAATTTGGGATGTTTCTGCTTTCTCTCTTCTAGGTCGATCGCTTGCTGAAGGCATCTTATAGAGATTTAAGGAATAAGGTTTAAATATGCTCCAGAGTAGCTCAATAATATAAGAATATAATAAGAATATAACAGCTTTGCGCTTGATGTTACACAAAGAGCCAGTATTGTTTAAATTGCAACTCCAATTTTGCTTCTTTTTTTTTTTTCCCCTGCAAAACTTCCTTTTAGTTGTAATAAGCTAAGAAAAGCAAACAAAAAAAAAAATGAATACCAACGATTTTACTTTATTCTATTAAAAATATACATTGTGCAACTCAAAATGTACTAAATTATATAATTTAAACCAACAAAATTGGGTGTCCAACATGCAGTGACTTACTGATTATCCTAACGAGAAAGTACTTTGATACTTAATAACTAAGTTTTCTTTTATTGAAATTCCCTACTAAAAAAAAAAAAACAGTAGGGTTGGGTAAACTCTTCTCATTTTCTTTGGGTGCTTAGCTCTGAGTTTAGTTGAAGGGCCAGCCAGCTAGAATGAGTTTGGGTTCTTTTCTAGTTTTCCTCAATAAATGGACCTTTTGCAGTCGAAATATACTTCGGCGGAGGCCGCTTTGGAAGCTCAGACGCGCTGCGCTAAACATAAATTATCTGTGGACCAAAAGAATAAAAAAGACAATATTTTCTGAATTTGAAAATTCAGTTCTAACTAAGAATAAATGTTTAGTTGGACAATAATGCCTTATAGCTGTAATTGTATACTTAAATTTATTAAATATATTTTATATATTTTTAAAATAATAAAAAATATAAAAATTAAAATACTAAAAAATATTCTCTAAGGAAACCAAAATAAATTTTCCAGTCCTTAATAAGTCACTTTGCATATGATCAAAAAATAAATCACTTTCGATTCCATCAAAACAAAATAATTAAATAAATCACTTCGGATGATTGATTCATTAAAATGTAAAATGTCAATTATAGCCCAAAGAGAGCAAAGAGCGCTGACATAGTGAAAACAAAAAGCTGATGAATTTGTATGAGAAAATGAGCAGAGAAAACACCGTGTAGTGGATTAGATGAAGCAGGAATTAATGGAGGAGGGGAGAGGAGAGGTAAACGGTAGATGAGAAGTGGGGGCTGGGTTCAAAGATCAATAAATAAAGGCTTCTCCGCGTAATGTTGTGATTGATTGAAAGGAAAAAGCTTTCTCTCTCTTTCTTCTTTTGAGTTTTCTTTCTTCCTCCC